CTTGCTGCTGCCTTTGCTGCAGCAGCAGCTCTGCCTGCTGCTGCTGCTGCTGCAGCTGCTGCTGCAGCAGCCGCTTCTCCTCCTCATAAGCCGCAGACACTGCAGACACACAAAACAATATCGGTGCAGGACATGGGCTGCTGCACATGCAGCAGCAGCAGCAGCAGCAGCAGCAGCAACTGTAAACGCAACAACAGCAGCAGCAACAGAAACAGGAGCAGGAGCAGCAGCAACAGCAGCAACAGACGCTCACACGAAGCAACGATAGCCGAGTCTCCTCCAGCAGCATCCTTCGTCAGGCGCTGCTGCTGCTGCTGCTGCTGCTGCTGTTGTTGCTGCTGCTGCTGCTGCAGCTGAGGCACCTGCTTAGCCACCTGCTGGAAGAGCTCTACTGCTGCAGTGCTGGCGGAGGCAGCAGCAGCTGCAGCAGCTGCTGCAGCATCAACACGACAAACAGCAGCAGAAGCAGCTGCTGCTGCTGCCCTCTCCCGCTGCTGCGCTGCAGCAATATCCTCAGCGGCCGCAGCAGCTTGCTTCTGTAGTTGCTGCTGCAGCTCGCGGACGGTCTGCTGCTGCTGCTGCTGCTGCTGCTGTTGCTGTTGCTGCTGCTGCTTCTGCTGCTCCTGTTGTTGCTGCAGCAGTTGCATCTCCTGGTGCTTCTTTCGGAGTTCTTCTGCGTGCTGCTGCTGCTGCTGCTGCAGCTGTTGCTCCTTCTGCAGCAGCAGCTGCTGCTGCTTTTGCTGCTGCTGACGCTGCTGCTCAAGTTCCTGAAGGGCTCCCTCTAACTGACGTTTGGTTTGCTGCTGCTGCTGTTGTTGCTGCTGTTGCTGCTGTTGTTGCTGCTGCTGCTGCTGCGCCTGCTGCTCCATTTGTTCTATCGATTGCTTCGCTTGTAAGTGCTGCTGCTGCTCTGATTCCAGCTGCTGCTGTAGCTGCCGTAGCTGCTGCTGCAGCTGCTGCAGCTGCTGCTGGTGTTCCATTGCTGTAGAGGCTTGCTGCTGCTGCAGTTCGTCTCGCTCTAGCGCGTGCTGCTGCTGTTGCTGCTGCTGCTGCTGCTGCAGCTCGTCGCGCTGCTGCTCTAAAGTTTGCACTTCTGTCCTGAGCTCTTCGATTTGCTGCAGCAGCAGTTGCTGCTGCTGCTGCTGCTGCTGCTGCTGAAGCCGCTCACCGCCTTGCTGCTGCCGCAGACCCTCCTCTANTGCTGCTGCTGCTGCTGCTGCTGCTGCTGAAGCCGCTCACCGCCTTGCTGCTGCCGCAGACCCTCCTCTAGCTGCTGCTGCTGCTGCAGTTGCTGTTCCCATTCCCGCGCTTGCTGCTGCTGCAGCTGTTGCTGCTGCTGCTGCTGCTGTCGCTGTTGCTGCTGCTGCTCATCCAACAACCCCTCATTCCCCCCAGGCTGCTGCTGCTGCTCAGGTTGCGGTGTATGTACACCGTTGGTTTGGGGCTGGTTGCGCTGCGCATGCAGCAGCAGCTGCTGCTCCCGTATTTGCTGCCGCTGCTGCTGTATCTGCTGCTGCTGCTGCTCGCACTGCTCCGATAGACGTTGAATTGTCTCCCGCAGCTCCTGCTGTGCTGCAGTGGCTGCTGCTGCAGCATCTGCTGCTGCTGCTGCTGCAGATGCTGCTGCAGCAACTCGCACTTGGTGCTGCTCCTCCTCCTGCTGCTGCTGCTGCTGCTCCATCTGCAGCTCAGCCTGCCGGTGCAGCTCTCTTATCTCATCGTCTCTGTCTTCAAGCAGCTCCTCGAGGAGATGCAGCTGCTGCTGCTGCTGCTCCAGTAAAACTTCTTGCTGCTGCAGCCGTTGCTGCTGCTGCTGCTGCTGCTGCTGCTGCTGCTGCAGCTGCCGCCGCTGCTGAGGCAAATGCCCTAGTCCGTTCGTCTCCCCGCTCTCCTGCTGCCTTTGCTGCTGCTGCGCCTCCTGTTCATGCTGCC